AGACCTTAGTTTTTGCGTAGCAAATCCCAACTCATTTTTTAGAGAGATTTTATAGCATTTTGGCGAGACCATTTCTGTTGTTAGTCTCCCTTAGCATAACACAGCGACTTCTCGCCGAATTTCTGGTCGGCGCCTGAACGGTCGGTACGCAGGCTCCTGGCCTTTTGTGGCCACGACGCCCACCAGGGCTGCGTATTAATTTACGCTCCCATTGTTTTGTTTTTTTTTGTCTGCCAACTGGACGCGAGTTGGAACTACCTTTCTTTCTCTCTTTGCTTCGCCTCTTTACTTTGAGAAAAATATGCAATTTGTTGACAAAAATTTAGAATTACCATTTAGTTACTCCTGTTCGAACTATAACGTAAAATCTTTCAATTGAGACTGTTACTAATTTAAAGCAATAGATTGAATTAAATAACAAAAGTATTCAGCTATTAAAAATATTTTGCGTCTTATCTTGCAATTAGTTATTTACCACTTATAACGAACTTAAAGGTTGATCACGTTGGTTCATTAAATGACAGAAGCTGTAAATAAACTAATTACAGATATGACGTAAATTATTTTTATTTAATATATATATATATATATATATATATATATATATATATATAGCACACTTGCAGAAAGATCAGGTTGGTTTATTAAATAGCAGTAAGTTTTAAATAAAATTCTCCTAAACTCGCCATAAAATTTGCCATTAATTATTTTTTTAAATCGTTTTAAGAAACGGATATTAATTATAGTTTTCTTTTACACATCGAAATCATTAGCAAATAAGGGGTGGTCCGAAAGTCTTTGTCACCCCTAAATAACATAATTTTTATTTCAGATGGCTGAAACGAAAATGATGGTGTTCATGCAGACCCTTTTCGGTGTGTGACAGCGCCGATGAAAGTGAATTTGCTGAATCCAGGACACGTGCTTTGTATTATTGTATTACTTGTCCTTCAATTGTTCCAATTGTTTTGGTAGGCGGTGACAAGACTTTCAGACCATCCTGGAGTGGTCAGTATGCTACTAGGTCCCCAAACAAGGTCCGCCACAGGCTTTAAATTCAGAGTTGTCCTACTCCAAATCGATAATGTCTTATAAACGTAATTCTTTCTCAGATTCACGATACATTCATATTTACTTAGTTTCGTATCCTAACAAAGCAATTACTAAAGAAGTGATGGATTTTTATCTACAAGCCTGAATATTCGGGAAATCTTATTAAAGAAAAATATGCGTTCTCTGGTAGGATTCGAACCTGCGTCTCCCTTTGCAGGAGAAACCGTCGTTGGATCCGACGCGGGTTTATAAATTTGAAAAATCCGATACTTCTTTAGAAGTATATATATATATATATATATATATATATATATATATATATATGGAGAGAGAGAAAGAGAGAGAGTCTGAGTTAGAGAGAGAGAGATAGAAGATAGATACAATAAAAATATAGTTTATAGTTTTGTTATATTTATGAGTAAAAGTTCACAATATCAGGGTCGTAGCGTATGTAAATATGTAGGAATTTTATTATTATTATTATTATTATTATTATAAATAAATAAAATATAAAATAATAATAATAACGATGAAAATTATAAATAAAATAAAATAAAACAGTAACAAAAAACGTTGTATAAAATAAATTAAATACAAATTAAAAGTAATAAAAAAAAAATCCCAGTATACAAAAAAAAACTGTTCCTGTCTGAAACACGGACATCCCGCCAAAAAGACGTTATATTCACTCTCTTCACCACGAACCTTGGTACGGACAACACGTGTTTAACCTCTCTCTGTGATATGGCTCGTAATACTACAGAATAAATTCTCCCTTTTCTCACATATACCATAAAACAATTGTAACCTAAAAAAATACACAAAAAATATAAATAAACTGTATGAAATTAACATGCAATTTACCATGATCTGTTATTTCTGTACGCTTTATTTCCTGTCGAGTACGCTTTTATCTCCGCTAACACTGTTGCTATGATATGAGTGAACCCAAACATTTTGGTGACCGCCGACGTGCATAAAAAAACCAACCTATTCACCCAGAAATATAAAATGAGCACTGAGGTTAATACCGAACGACGAGTCTGTTTCATTACTGAACACAAAGTTCAGACCATGTCTGTTGGCTGGTAGCTCAACTATTTATATATGTTGGTAAATGGAGCATTATGAGTAGCAATTTTAGATATTTCCTGTTTATAATGTTTATTGCGTCGATCACACAACAAACAAGATATACCTGAGCTTGCTAACCGTAACGCCCGTATTTACAAAAATCAGCACGTTTATACGCACGCAACGAAAAAATTTTAATTATTTTTAAAATACTAGGAGTCGCTCAATTGGTAGTAAGCTTTTCTATTTATGATTAGTATATACAGTTTTTATTTAATAACAATATCACCTGACCGATAAAGAATTTTAAAAGATTTTAAAATTTATAAATTATTCTAATTAAAATTTTTAACAAATAAAAACTTCTTGTAAAAATTCTTCGAAATTTTGTTTTTCTTAAGATAATTGGGTCCATAATATATAACATTTATTAAAAAAAAATTCTAATTAAATAATGTCTTACTTTTCTTGCATTTTTTTTCTTCTTTTTTTTATTTACAATTCAGAGCAGATTTTCTGTAAATAGCACAGACACTACATCGGTTCTTGATAATGACTGCGAAAGTCGAAAGTACTTGAACAAAAATAACAAACTATGAACTTTGGACTGTTTATCCACAACTTCGATGACAATGCTCACCAACTTATTCGAAAATTAAAAAAATAATCAGACTTTAACGGTTCTTTTTAATCAAACTTGTTTGGATGAATACTTGCTGCTTAAATATAACACACACACACACACACACACACACACACACACACACACATACACATACATATATATATATATATATATATATATATATATATATATATATATATATATATATATATATATATATAGCCGGTTTTAAGCCTACTTGGCCAATTTTATCAAATTGGGTTCCGCACCTTGAGTTACCGTTTGAAGCCTTTTCTGTAGTCTAAGAGGAATAAAACACACCTGAAAACGTGAAACGAAGAATGAGAAATTCTTATTCCTCGCATTATTCATTTATTAAGTAGACTATAATAACAGGAAATTGCCATCATGTCATTTGTTCAACAGTGAGCAAATTTGAGCGGCAAGATATTTTCAAATTAGTTACGCTGATTCTAACTTAAATTAAAAATTACATTTTTCCAAAACCGGTCACCACGGTTGGAGATATGTCTCTTAAAAAAATTTCTGCTAGAAAAGTAAGTAACTGTTCTTTCAAATTACATTAAGTATGGATTAAATTTTCTAATTATCCTAAAAAAAAACGTCTGAAAAAATTATACTTCATTTTTTAAAATATTTTACAAATGATATTTTTGAATTTTGTTTAAGTTCAGAAAAAATGGCCGATCGGCCTGATTTGCTTGTAAATTTCATTGACTAAAAAAAAACAAGATATTTGAATCAATTTCTTAATAGGATAGGAAGGATTAAAAAATCTGAAAAAAATATTCTGAAAATGCTTTAGTCTTTCCTCTTAATAACGTAAACATTTAGACGTTAAAAAATTGCTTTATCAATTTTCGGACTTTTTTTTTATCGGGCTATACACGTTTTTAACGTCCTATTTGGACATACCTACTTCTTTGATCGTGAAGCTAAGATTACAATTCAACTTTCACACTTCAGGTTTTTCTAAATTCATCTTATGCCGAATTTACCTGAATCTACAATAATTTCTTATTGAAGAACATTTCTTTCATCGGGATAAATTATTGTTTCATGAACTGAAATTATTTTCTCGAGTTCATTAAAAACATTTTACATTACAAACTTTGATCAGTACAATTTTACAGTCAAAGGTAGGTAACTCCTGCTACATTTTAAATACTGCAATTTTCAATTATAGATATTGTTAAAAACTGTTTTATTCATTTCAAACAGGTTTATTAATTACAACTTTTATATTAATTTCACACACTTTGAACATTCCTCACAGGGGCACATTTCACGTGCTAAAAGAACATTCTCAAGTGACTTAAAAACAAACTTAATCTCTTCAACCAAACATTAATTCACTTAATCTTAATTACACATCCTTCAAACTTTTGTATATTAATCGTTATACAAATATTTTTATTGTTTGTTGAAAGAGATTTGTTGTTGTATATTTATTATGTTTTGTCAACGTTGTGCCGAAAAGAAAATTTAAAATTGTTTATGGAGATTTTTTTTTTTTTTTGTTCACCAAAACTTTAGCTTTGTGATATATCTTTTGACCTAATAATTTAAATAACCATCAACTCAGCAACAAAATCCCAAACAAATCTTGCAATGAAGAACTCAGTTCTCGTCAGGCCAGGAAATTAATTTTATCTGAATTTCTACAAAATTTATGTATCTTAGTGCTTTGCATATGTAATTTTATTAGTTAGCAATTCTAAGTAAACAGATAACATATTTAATCATCAATTTCTATATATGAGTAAAAAAACATTGCTGTGTGATATTTACTATGATGTTCTTTGCACTTATGAACTTCATAAAAATACAGACCAAAAACTTCTTATTCTATACTTATGAAATTTCAACATTGGTTTCCTTATAAGATTTTGTATAATCATAGTAATTTTCAAGTAATTTAGCATAATATTTATAATATATTACAGTAAATGCGTACAAAAGACTTTGTATAAAAAAAATAAAACTTTCATATTGTCTTTCAAATTTTTTTTGTTTTTGTTTTGTTTTTTCTTTGGTTTAAAGTAAAGACGAGCAAACTACACGAAATATAAGCATACATAATTTTTCACTTTTGTGAGTAAGGGCACCGCTATCAGTTTCCTAATTCTACCGCGCATTTCCCATCACCGACCCTATATATATATATATATATATATATATATATATATATATATATATATATATATATTGCCGACTAATATTAGACAGCGAGAGACAGAAACAGATAGATAGATAGATAGATAGATAATTCATCGTTTAAAACGAGATTTTTGTCTCCCTTGATCGTTACGTAGTTATGTCCCTTGTTCTAAAATTATCTCCCTTTGCAGTGATTTCGATTACGAATTTCAAATATAATTTTGAATTTTTTCAAATACAATTTTTATTTACTTATTCCCCTTTTCTGGCTTACCTATTTTCTGCAGCCTAATTTCTCTTGCTAAAAACTCGTATGTAATTTCTTAAACCGATCAATCTATAATCATTTGCATAATTTTTAAAGTTTAAATGCCTATATGAAACCTTTAGTTTTACTTTAAACTTTGCCAAAATTTTACTAACATTTAAAGAGTTGTCTCCCCTGCATTATACTTCTTTCATATAATGTTAATTTTTTTCTTTACTTTTTACATTCTTCAAATAGTCGATTTAAAACATGTATTATTTGATATAGATGAGAAAATTGTAATTAAAACTGGCAAATGGTTTGTTGGCGCGTCAAAAGTTGATTTTTATTTTATAATGTCGAAATTAATGCAGAAAAACTTTATTCAGAAAAATTCTTCTCAATTTTTCTTCAAATATTTCAGATCTAAGTGCTTATCATAGAAATATACATTAATTATCTTTTCATTAATCAAGGAAGATGATTGTAAATAACAATCCCTGTTTTATTAATATAAACGCACACACTTACTTTCACACATACACACAACCTCACATTGGAGTATTGCTGCCATATATGGTCTGGTGCCCCTTCTGTTTGCCTCAGGGTTCTTGATAGGCTCCAGAGGCAGATATGCAATGTGGTTGGCCCTGCCCTGGCGTCTCGTCTACAGTCACTTTCTCACAGACGCGCCGTCGCCTCCCTCTGTCTGTTCTACAAATACTTTCATGGAAATTGCTCCAAAGAGCTGCATTCGCTGGTTCCCAGACGTCATGAGTTCAAGCGACCTACGAGGCTGGCATCCCGCTCTCACCCCTTCACTGTCGAAACTCCTAAATGTAGCCATCTCTTCTACTCTAATAACTTCATGTCTCGCACCTCTCGCTTGTGGAACTCCCTTCCCTTTTCCTGTTTCCCTGTGAGCTATAATCTCCAGCTATTCAAGTGTAATGTCAATCGACATCTCCAGTTGCCTTGATCTATCCACTACCCTCATCCTTTCTTCTATTACTCCTATCTGATCTTGCTCTAAATTTTCTGTAACCCCTTGCATCCTAGTGGCTTCCCGCCTTGCTTGGGGTGAAATGCTTAAAAAAAAATTTAAAAAAAAAAAAAACATAAATTCACACATATAACATATATCATACATGCTCTGAATCACACATGTACACATTGATCTGTACATGTCTGCATAAACATACACTGATATGAATAGATGCTCATACATATGCACACTTGCATTGTAATGGTGGCCTTACCATCAACTAGAAAGATAAGATGGAAGGAACAAAACAACTAATAGTGATAAGACATGGTTAAGTAATATAGTTTTTATTTCCTGTGATCTACAGGGTTTGACATATTATTATTGTTTTAATTATTTCACTCCAAGCAAGGCAATAATTCCACTAAGATGCAAGGGTTTACTGGGAGTGTAAGAGATCAAGTAGACTTTAGGTGAAGGAACTGGAAACTCATGCCTAAACAATATGGCCAGTATATACTACTACTGAAGCCCCAACTGGGGGAGCAAAGTCTGATTGAGGGCTCTGGGCAGTGTTTTGTGACCTTAGCTATCTTATCAACATTTGCTTTTATCTAAATACAGTTATATATGTTACAGACTAAATTAAGTACAACTGACTGTTAATAGTTGAAAATATTTTCATGTATTTTGATATCATTCCTGTGTCTTTTCAAATTCATAAATTTGCTTTGCTCATGCTAAGCCTCGTAAAAACACTATATAAAATTTACTAGTTTTTTATTCATAATGTTGAATGTGTTAAATTTATTCAACTTTCTAACAAAAAAAATCTGTAGTTGATGTTGAAAATTTCCACAGAACATTGATTTATTTAAGATGGAATGACCGATAATGGTGTGTCTCTAATTTGTATTTAGATACATTGCATTTATTTTCAATTTTTCTAGTTGAATTGTTGACTTATATTGCATAAGATCCATTATTATACATAATTAGGTTACAATAAAATTTCTATTTTATATGAATACTACCTTATGAAAATAGAGATATTTTACAGTCAGGGTCCTCATATCATAGATTTTGAAGAAGGGCCTTGAGACCTTTGCACTGGCTCTGCTAATAATTCCTCCCAGCTATGGGTAAATACCAGGACAGACTGAGTTCTATAGCCTTGGATGGCAACTGGTCTACCACAGAAAAAAATGACAACCTACTGTGGGAAAATCAAAAAATACATGATCGTCTAAGTATGTATCATGCATGGCACATGACTGATAGCCTCAAAAAGCTTGCTAATAGTACTGAGAAGACTGATGGGTCTATACTGAGGTAGGGTGAACACTTGTCTGCATTCTTGAAAACCGGGCATACACTTGGCACTTTCCAAAGGATTGGAAAGGATTTCTCCTTCAAGCACTGGTTTGCTAGGATCAGGGATAGTTCTGGGTTGATATTCTTAAGGACAACCTCTGGAATTTTGTCTGGATGTTCTTAGAGTCAAGGCTTTTGATAAGTCTTGAAACTTTTTGAGCTGTAATGAAAATATTACTGAGATTTTGCTCAGTGAGTGGGAAATTGGGAATTCAAGGCAAAGATCGAGGTGAAGAGCTTCGCTTTATCTGTTGAGGAAGATTATAGTAGTGGGCACAGCCGCTTTGCCTCTATTCACAATTTGATTAAAGTGAGCATTACTGTTTGAGTTAAATAAATGGAGTTCCGACAGAGTACTACAACATAAACTCAAAAATGCAAAATGAACAAAGCTATAAAATTGATAGATATCATTATTATTCACGCTAATAAACCCTCTTACAAATATTATTGTGGTGGGGTTGATAATTATTTATATCTGACTGCAATTACGTTGAGGGAGTGGGTGAAAATTTATGAGTGCTTGACAACATCAGAGAAACAAAGAAGCCCAAATTAAAACTGGTACATACTGTTCTTTATAAAGGGATTGGTAAGATAAAACAAACTGATTTTTCAAGAGTTAAAATAAAGCATTCTTTTCTTTTAATCATGTCACCCCCAAGCAAGGCAACAAACCTGCTAAGATGGAAGGGGTTACTGACTGTTTGAGAATATGAGAGAAAAAAATGCTATTAAGGAGAGATAACAATAAAAGAACATGAACAAGACAGAAGATACTGATTGGCATTGCATTTAAATTTTTGAAGATCAAACTTGACACGGAACCAAGAAGCCGGAAGAGAGTTCCACAAGTGAGAAGTACAAAAAAAAAGAAACTGTTAGCACACAATTTGCGGTTACATCTACCCCTTTTAACTGTAAAATGATGAGACCTAGCTGCCAATCTAGTACTGGATTTAAATGCATAAAGCTTAGGCACCATAGCTGAAAGTTCATCAGAATAATTACGATGAAAATATTTATAGAAAAGGCACAGGGAAGCCATGTTATGGCAGTGGGAAACTTACCGAAGTCAAGAATCCAGATCAGAACCAATAACATTGCAGATTCTTGTTTGGATTTTATCAAGAATCTCTAAATGTATAGGAGGAACATCAGACAAGATGTGGCAACAATATTCAAAGCAAGAATGAATGATTGAATGGTAAATATTTTATTTTTTCAATTGAAGATTTAATAGATATTTAGATGCTTGTTTGAATTCTAAACATCAATATTGTTATCACTTCTTTTTAATGGTCCAGTGTCCTTGCTTTATATTTAGAGATTCTTGATAAAATCCAGAGACGAATCCACATTATTATTGGTCATGACTTAGTGTTTCAGCTAGAGTTACTTTCCTATCACTGTAACATTGCTTCCTTGTACCTTTTCTATAATAATATTTTCATGGTAATTGTTTGGACGAAGTCTCCACTATGGTACCTAGACTTTATGAATTTAAAAGCAGTACTAAATTGGCAACAACGTTTCATGAATTCACAGTTGAATTGGCTAGATGTAACTGTAAATTATATGATAACAGTTTCTTTTCTCACACTTCTCACTTGTGGAACTCTCTTCCAGCTTCTTGCTTTCCAGACAAGTTTGAACTTCAAATGTTTAAATGCAATGACAATCGTTATCTACTGTTTCCCTGATTACTCTTCTGTTGTTCTTGCATTTCAATAATGCTTCTGTTTTCTAATTCTCTCACACCCATTAACCCCCTTGTGTCTTAGTGGCTTTACTGCCTTACATGGGGTAAATTTGATTAAAATAATTTTTTTTATAAATATTAGTCCTCTGATGAGAAAGGAAAAACTTGTATGGTAATATAAATCTAAAGTTCTTTATTTTCAATGGACTTGTAAAATCCAAATCCCATAGAATTCTGATTGAGAATAAAATTCATGACAAAAAATTCCCCAAAATATAAGTACAGCACTTAATACTTTCCAGGGATTTAATATATTGACAAACAAGTGGTCACTTTTCTGGCTTACCCTTTGGACACATAAAGACATGACCTCTGAACTTTATAAACAGAATCATTATCACAGAAAGAGGATATTTAGTTCATAGCCCTTCATACCAAACCAATGAAACAAACTTTTTTTTTTAAATGACACTTGCAGATTTGTTCTTAGGTGAATACAGATCATTTACATAACCTTTGCATCCAACAAGCAAATGGTTGACATGTCGAGGAAGAAAAAAAAACAAAAGAAAAAATTGGACCATTTTTATATGACATATGGTATACATAGAATGAGATATATAAATTTTTTTGAGCCAAGTTATATATTTTCATACTGTTACTCTTCCGTCTGGTACAAGGCCACCATAATTGGTGCAACCAGTGAGGATAAAACTCACTACACTTGGGAAATGATCTGTAAGATAAACTACTGGGATGTATCAAAAGGGATAAGAACATTCCTCAGTGGGGATGCCATTATCTAC